TTTTACATTATCACTCAATATGTGAAATTAAATATTATTTTTCAGTTTGGCTTATTTATCTTTAAACACTTAATTCTTATTTCAGATGGAATGTTCTATCTCTTCTGTTTTAGGTCATTCACTGCAGTGGAGAGCAGTCCCAGTCTTTACTAAAGTCTTATTTGCAGCCTTAAAATTGGCCTTTAGGGATGAAGGAGACTGTGTTGGAAGCTGATTGTCAGGCTAACCCACAGCAAGAACAATAAAAAAGGGAAGTCAACCTCAACATCTCGCCTCAGCCACTGATTTTCATCTCAATATGTGTTCCTGGACTTACAGCTTTTTTTTAACCAGCCCCCTCCTCTTCCCATGTTCCAGAAGGGATTTGGGGTGTATGGGACACAATGTAAAGGCAGACACAGAAAACATCCTATATAAACAATCAGCATGGCGTACCATTAAATGGATCAGGTAGCTCCCTGATTTGTTTCTAAAAAATTAATGCAAGAGAAGTCTTAATCTCTATAAAACTGCATTATGGTGGTTCTCTTCTGGCAGAAAGCAGAGGATGTGAAGCAACACAGGGTTTCTGTCCCTAGAACTCAAAGGTGGCAAATCACAGTTTTACAGCATTTTTAAGGACATTGCTATGAACATTCTCATGGAGAGCAAGCCAGAAGCTGAGCAAGCAATTATTTTTACTTGGGACCACTTGTGGGCATACCAGAGGAGGCCTGTATGAAAAGCAGTTACCTATTTAAACAACTACAAAGCACAGCATTGAACCATCTGTGTGATGGAAATGCATTTATAACTAGTTTTATAGTTAAAAGTTATAGTTACAACACCTTTCCTCCTGATTGCTTTGGCTGTTATAACTGACTATACAGGTGCTGGTCATAAAATTAGAATATCATGAAAAAGTAGATTGATTTCAGTAATTCCATTTAAAAAGTGAAACTTGTATATTATATTCATACATTACATACAAACTCATATATTTCAGATGTTTATTTTGTTTAATTTTGATGATTACAAATGACAACAAATGAAAATCTCAAATTCATCATATCAGAAAATTAGAATATTACTGAAGACCAATAAAAACAAAGGATTTATAGAAATGTTGGCCAACTGAAAAGTATGAACATGAAAAGTATGAGCATGTACAGCACTCAGTATTTAGTTGGGCCTCCTTTGGCCTGTATTACTGCAGCAATGCGGCGTGGCATGGAGTCGATCAGTCTGTGGCACTGCTCAGGTGTTATGATAGCCCAGGTTGCTCTAATAGCGGCTTTTAGCTCTTCTGAATTGTTGGGTCTGGTGTATTGCATCTTCTTCTTCACAATACCCCATAGATTTTCTATGGGGTTAAGGTCAGGAGAGTTTGCTGGCCAATTAAGAACAGGGATACCATGGTCCTTCAACCAGGTACTGGTAGCTTTGGCACTGTGTGCAGGTGCCAAGTCCTGTTGGAAAATGAAATCTGCATCTCCAAAAAGTTGGTCAGCTGCAGGAAGCATGAAGTGCTCTAAAACTTCCTGGTATGTGGCTGCGTTGACCCTGGACCTCAGAAAACACAATGGACCAACACCAGCAGATGACATGGCACCCCAAACCATCACTGACTGTGGAAACTTTACACTGGACTTCAAGCAACGTGGATGAAGTGCCTCTCTTCTTTTCCTCCAGACTCTGGGACCTTGATTTCCAAAGGAAATGCAAAATTTACTTTCATCAGAGAACATGACTTTGGACCACTCACCAGCAGTCCAGTCCTGTTTCTCTTTAGCCCAGGCAAGACGCTTCTGACGCTGTCTGTGGTTCAAGAGTGGCTTGACACAAGGAATGCGACAGCAGAAACCCATGTCTTTCATACGTCTGTGTGTGGTGGTTCTTGAAGCACTCACTCCAGCTGCAGTCCACTCTTTGTGAATCTCCCCCACATTTTTGAATGGGTTTTGTTTCACAATCCTCTCCAGGGTGCGGTTATCTCTCTTGCTTGTACACTTTTTTCGACCACATCTTTTCCTTCCCTTCGCCTCTCTATTAATGTGCTTGGACACTGAGCTCTGTGAACAGCCAGCCTCTTTAGCGATGACCTTTTGTGTCTTGCCCTCCTTGTGCAAGGTGTCGATGGTCGTCTTTTGGACAACTGTCAAGTCAGCAGTCTTCCCCATGATTGTGTAGCCTATAGAACTAGACTGAAAGACCATTTAAAGGCTTTTGCAGGTGGTTTGAGTTAATTAGCTGATTAGAGTGTGGCACCAGGGGCCATCAATTTTGAACCTTTTCACAATATTCTAATTTTCTGATATGATGAATTTGAGATTTTCATTTGTTGTCATTTGTAATCATCAAAATTAAACAAAATAAACATCTGAAATATATGAGTTTGTATGTAATGTATGAATATAATATACAAGTTTCACTTTTTAAATGGAATTACTGAAATCAATCTACTTTTTCATGATATTCTAATTTTATGACCAGCACCTGTAAGTCAAATACTTCTCCAACCTTCAGATGAGACTTCATCTCTGTGGGCTTAAGTTCTGAGCTGTGACAGCCATTCCAAGTCAACTAGAACATATTTGGTCATTTTATATCAAAGGGTCCTGTTTTGCTTGAGCTTTAAAGGTATAGTGGAGGATGTTGTTTTTCCAGGTGGAGCAAAATTAATGGTCCTCCTAATTGTTGGTCATTCTGGTGATATGTTTACGTAAGGCAGACCAAAGTGCTCGTCTCCATTTTCCCTTACTAGTGGTGAGTATGACATGGTGGAAAAAATGCAAATCTTTTGGAAAGGAGGCTTGTATGATGCAAACAGCAACTTTTAAACAAAGCGTGCACAAGGAGAAATGGGCTCGTGCACGCCGTTGCACGTGATTAATTGGCGTTCCTTCTTAGGAGCGGAGAGGGTTGTGCATGTGCATTTTTTTTTTAAAGTGCAGAGGGCGCAATAATCCTCCACTATACCTTTCATTTGCTTGAGAAATGGTCTTGTGTTTTCCTCAAGGACCTTTGAATGATTGGTAAAATTGACAGTGGATGCTATCAATGTGAGCTGGTCACTTTCACCTCAATAATTTCAGAGAATTTTGTACTGTATTTGAGCCAGACATTTAGTTTTTTGGCAAAGGAAAAATAATCTTCAGTCCTTTTGGAAAGTTTTAGTCTGGCCAAAGTATTTCTTGGAAAGCAAAGATTTTCTTGCTCATTCCTTTGAAGTACAGACAAAAGGCCTGCTCTAGGTCCTCTGATGACATGTTGGGATTTTTGAAAATCCCTTTTAGCACCTTACAATCTGCTCTTGGGTTGAACTTGCTTTGCAGGCCTGACCGGGGCTGGTAAACACATATGCTCTACAGTTTTAACCTGGAGTTGCTTAAATGTAAGTCTTCTAAACCAGCGGTTTTCAACGTTTTCCAGGCCAAGGACCCTCAATCTGATGGCGAGATGGAGCGGGGACCCCCTAATTATATATATTGTATGAAATTGTGCAATATCAAACTGGTCCTCTAGTCACTCTATTACATATGTAGTAATGTAACAAAAGTAATTTCGCCCTGGAATTATTAAAGTATTTCTGATTCTGATTCCTGGTGGATGGGACAGGTGTTGTGAATGAAACAGTGCCCAGCTTGAAAGAGCTCCTGTGTGTCGCTGAATGTGTGCGTTGATGACTGAAAGACATTTTCTGCTAGCCTGACGTAGTCCTACTCAATTCTAGTCAGAATATGAGTCTGATACTGCTCCAAAGAGCTGTGATTATGGGGCGTGTTTTGAACGGACCAGGAAAAAAAATGCCTCTGCACTAAATTGGATAGACCTACAACCAATAAGAGCGACGGAGTGCGTGATGTATGTTAAGCGATGCATAGTTGTTGTCAACAAAAATCAAAGCGTGCAGTTGTGCGCCTAGAATAAGAAGATGAGCCGTGATCGCGTTTCTCTTTTCCTCTTTTAAAATTAATTTGCTGTCGATATCTTCTAGAACAGACCTAATAGCAGAATCTACCCACCTCAACTCTCCGGCGGCAGCCATTGTTGTTGTCGCCCAAGCGCGCTTTGGTCACGTGGTTGATTACGTTACTGTTGATCATCTGTCCATCATCGTATAAAGCCCGCCCTGACAATTTGATTGGATCGCCTGACAGTGGGCGATAATACTCGCGCTACTATGGAGCAGAGCCAGACCGAACTTCCCGACCTCAAACCTTGTGGGCGGGACTAAGTTCGGAATGGCACCCAGGCTAATTTTCTGCCTCCATTTATCTGTTTACTACAGCATGTTGAATTCATGTTAATGTGTATTTAAAGACATTTCAATTAGTGAAAAAAAAATTGCAGGGGGGAATATAAAAAAAAATGTTGATCAACCAAAACTTCCGCGACCCCCATGCAGTACCTCTGTGGACGCCCAAGGGGTCAAGGACCCCCTGTTGAAGACCTCTGTTCTAAACTATAAGAACATTTTCCAGCAAATAGTGAAACCATTACATAATTTTCTTCCAACTGATTTCAGATTAATTCTAAACTATTCATTCTTAACTGATGTGAAGGTATATACTTCACATCAGTTAAACATTATAGTATTTGTTTCTCAAATGAAAGAAAAACACAGACATGTAGAATATTCTGAATTTATTAGCTCAGATACATTATCCTGTTGAGCAAAGATGACTAGTCAGTTACAAAAATACAGTATACTTAACTTAAACGTCAAAGCATTATAAAGCACATCTATGGCATACAAGAATAACTCCTAAAATGTACAACTTTACAAAGTGTTTACAAATAAGATGTAAAATGAAAAAGTGCAAAAAAAAAGAGACAAAATACCACCCATAAAACATTGTACAACAAAAACATACTTCATTTTCCTTTTTTGGATTTGTTGTTTTATCTATTTTGCCTTTTTCCCCCATGTGCTTTGTTATTTTAGTAATTTATGATTCAATAGTGCATGAAAAAAAAATTCCAACAATATTCACAGTTTTTTTCATATTTTGAGTCCCTAAATAATAGCACAGCTGTTAATAAATATCTTTTACTCTGATTTACAGTCTGTGACACTGGTGACTCAGTGGGAAAATTGGAGCGCAGTCAAACAAATACCATATATTTGTCATGAATGTGTACTTATTTTATATAAAATCAAACAAAGCTGTTTGTAATTTTCTGGGTAATAAAACAACCCTGAGCCTTAAAGTGTCCTTGATAGTAATGTGAATTTCCTTCTGTGAGTGAGGATGTAAAATCAGTAGTGTGATAGAGTTCCATAAAGTAAATACAAATATATTTGTATTTGAATAAAATAAAAATACACCAAATACAGTACTGGAGTCTATAAAACCAATTGACCTCTTTACCCTTGTGGTCCCTAAAACAAAAATTCAAATGAGCTGATTTTAGGAGACAAAAAAACAAAACAAAATAGCACTTACTTGCATCATCTACTGCATGTAAAGCAATTTTTCATATTTGCTCTCAAATTTTATTGATACTCGTAATTTCTTAAAGAATATCTTGAATTTTTTTTTAAACATAACACTCCAAAGGTGACCATAGAGAGAGAAAGACCGAGTCGCTATTTTGAAAATTGACTAAACCTCCACCTATAGGAACAATTAACCTACTGGATTGTAAAGTAACCTCAAATATTTGTTTTCATAAAAGCTCCTAAAAGTTACACGCTAGCCTGAGCAGTATATCTGAAGTTGCACAAATCCGGAACTGTAAAAGCAGTTTGTTCACAAATGTTCAATGTCATATCTTAGCTTAGTTAAGAAGAATAGAGGTTGCATGCTAAGGCTTTTCCGCTAAGAACAACAACGCAGTTAAATGTTCTTAGGAGCAAAGTGATCCGATATTCTGAACTACTGCATCTGTACAAAAAAAAATGTCCTAAAAGAATCAGATGTAAAACAGTTTAGAAGTTTTGAAATCATAATTAATCACAAGAAATCGCAATTCTAATAATTCTTAGAAGGAAGTTCACATAAAAGCTAGAGATGACCTATACTTTTTTGACCTATACTTTTTGTTATATCTGTAACATAGTTCACTAGAAATAAAGCTGCAATCCAGGTATTGCTTTAATAGATGTATTATTTATGTCTAAGATGTGATGGTTAGTATGTTTGATGCAAAGCAGCACCCATCCAAGCAATATGCGGTATATTAGCATTTTTTGGTTTTTAGTTCTCCAGAAGCCTTATGCGAAGCTACTGGAGCTCAAACAATGAAACTTTTCCCTCAGAGAATGGACAATGTTGGGTTGGCTCTGCTGCTCCTCATTCCACAGGTACTTTTCCAAGTGTTCGCGCTCCAGCGGCTTTAGCGGTTGGCAAGAGTGAACCGGAGTGCATGGCAAACTCCGAGACTGGACAACACTCCGACTCTGAGTTGAGCTGCTGGTTCCCTGGTTCAATCTGTCCCTCTCCACTTCACTTTCGTCCTCTGAGCGGATCTCAACATAGTCGTCGTCATCGTCTTCATTGTCCTTGAAGTTAGCCAGGTAGTTCTGAGTGGCATTGAGGATGGACAGAGCAGAAGCCCGGTTCAGGACAACCACCTGCTGACTATCCTGGAGGGTAAGGTCTGACTGTCTCAGGGTGGATTGATCTGGGAGGCTGCTCTGCCGACCAGCACGGGCTAAACTAGGTCCATGAGGTCTTTCTCTTTTGGAATCCACAGTGGGTCCTTTACAACTGAGCTCGGATTGGCAGCGTGTCTCTTGCTGGGGACTTGTCAAAGAACCAGCTGATTGAGACTGATTAGACAGGGAAGACTTTGAGGAGGGAGAATTAGAGGAAGGATGTCTTTTTATGGAGTTGTACACATGCTCTTCTTCACTTGGCGCTGAAATGCATGAGCTCCATCTTTGTGATGATGGAGCTCTTGAAGCAGGTTGGATAGTCTTGAAAGAAGGGATGGAAGAGGTATGGGTGAGTTTATGCTGAGAGCTAGACGACATTTTAGTGTCTGTTCCCTTGTTAGATGAAGACATAAAGTTCATTAGCTCCCCGTTACTATAGATGGAATGGAGCCAGTCATCATCCAGTGAAGTTTCCGGCATGGATGGAGAGGAAGGGAGGCCGGGATGGAAGTGATGCGAGGAGGCTGAGCTCTGACTGGTCGAAATAGGAGCATCTTTATACATCACCTGGTCATAGAGCTGTGAGTATTCAGCTATCCTTGCACCTGGGAGGGCAGAATAGAAAAGATGAGATAGGGTGAGCCATTCTCATTAGTTAGGTGATTGCAAATTCTCAGTAAGCATTATGCCATAAAATGACAACTTTTTTGTTCATGCTTCAACAACAGAGAGTTTGCTAATTTTTAAGGAATTGAGCATTTTCCAGAAAGGCTAAAAAATACATTAGCTTCTCCAAATGGATTCTTTTAAACTTTCAGCCTGTCTGGTTTAGAAAAAACTATTCTGCTAATCACTAACAGAACATATTAACGACTAGGGCTGCAACTAACAATTATTTTGCAAATCAATTAATCTGTTGATTATTTTTTGATTAATAATCGATAGCCAAAATTTCCTAAAACTTTTCCACTTGAGGAGTTCTGGATAGAGCATATTGACAGATGAAATAGTTTTTATATCTTAAATACAAAATGTCTATATATATATATTGTTTTACAATTTTAATATAATTACTGCTCTAAGTGGCTTGCTCTGTCAGCTAAAGGCACGTTTTACAGTCTCTATACTCCATTTATCGATTACTAAATGTTGTCTCAATAATTGATTATCACAAGTATTCCGATTAGTTGTTTCAACCCTACTTAAAAGTTAGATACGTCTGTTTTGAATATCTTTTTGCAGTGATAGTGATGTTGCTTCCAATAACTGCAGTTTTATTAGGTAAATAAATTATTCTTATTAACACAAATTTAATGTCAAACTAACTAAACTAAGTGAAATGAGCCTACAAAAGTTGGTGCATGTCTTGAAAGATGCAAATGAAAAAGGAAAAGTCATAGCAATTATGCAGCTCAGAATTTTTCATATTACCTATGGCCGCACCGCCTTGTTTTTTCTCCTCCAAGATAGCAGCAAGGTCTTTCTGTTTCCTGTCCACTCTGGCCCGACTGCAAGAATCCCCTGGATCCATGCTTCTCATTCTTAGCAGCTGGTTAGCCTTCTTGATCTTTTGGCTATATTGCCGGGCCATCAAGAACACACGACTCTTTGTTTTGTCCATCAGCTCCAAGTCCACAGATTCCCCTAGCAGGAATGAAGAGGTCGCCAAGGGGGAGTCCAGACCGGCCAGCTCCCCTGGAAACAGGCTGTGAAGATCCTTCAGAGCGGCTTCTCTTGGAGCAGTGTTGCGTGGCGGAAGCTCTACCAGATCGTCATCCTCAAGGCGGAAGCTGCCGCTGCTGAGGCGTGCCAGTCTGTTTCGGATGCTCTTCACCGTGCCTGGAGGGGGTTCTGGCGTGGCAGGAAGGGGGCGGGATGCAAGAGCAGGGGTGTGGGTTTCTTCTGCAGTGGTACTTTCTTTCTCAAAGTCCGGAAATTTAATTAATGGGATGGTGAATGATGGTGTAGAGGTAACAGGTGGGGACTGAGGTTGATGTGCTGGTGGGCTCTTGTCTTTAGGGCTGGCAGCTTGAGCACTAACCACAGGGTAGGTTTTTGTAGGGCTGTTTTTAACAGAGGATACCTTCTTAGGTGACTCATTGGAATTCACAGGGAATGCAGCTGGAAGTCGTTCAGCTTTCTTTGTGTTCTTCATGTAGTTTTCTAAGTCATTACAAAGCTCATCGACCTCCTCAGACATCCGAGCAGCTCCTTTGGAGTCCAGAGGAATGGTTTTAGAAGCAGAGGAAGGATTATTTGGTTCGATAGAGCAGAGGACAGGGTGGGAAGTTTCTGTTTCTTCCTTCTTTCGGATATCTAGGCTCTCTGTAAAACCAAACTCATCAAGACTTTGAGCCAGATTTTTTTCTGACGACAAACTGTCCCTCTCTTGTTTTTCTTTACATCCTTCATTCTTTTGCTTCACCTCAGATGATGGTGGTTCTCTAAAACAGATGGTGTCATATATGGTGTCTTCAACTATCTTAAGATCACAGCTCCCATATGGCTTCACCTCCTGTGTGGACGACCGGTTGCTCTCTGATGAACTTTCTGGTTCAATGGGAGACTCTCTGACCTCTACAACACCTTGTTCACTCGCCTGACTTTCATCTGGGTCTCTCCTGATCAGACCCATGCTCCTCAGGTCTTCGTAGCTGATGTTGTCATATACATTTTCAATATCGTCCATTGTTAACTGCTCGGCTGAGGAGGATCCAGATATGTCATTGCTGGACGATTCAGTGTGAATCACTTCCAAATTGCTGTGGCCAGCCTCATCAACCCCTCGTCTCCCTTGAGTCTCTGAAGCCTTCTCTCCAGCACTTCTTGCCCTCCTCAGTACTCTACTGCCATCAACAGGTGGGTCTACCTGAACTGTGGGCACCTGTTCAACGTGCCAGCTGCAGGGTCGGGCGGTTCTGGGTGACGACGGGGCCTCCAGTTGCTCGGGGAGTGTTTCTGGCTCAGGTGCGCTAGGTTCTGTGGGAACAAACATTTGGTAGATGTCCTCATCGTCATCATCCGGCTGCATTGTTCTTTGGCGAGTGGGGAACATTGCCCTGCGGGCACGGTGATCAGCCCAAATGTTCCTCACAGAATGGTCAGTTTCTGTCACAATTACAGAGGGGACTGGGGTATCCGGAGGTTCCTCCATCACGCGAGGAGTCCTCAGTAGTGGAGGGTGGTTACTTCCTTCCCTTACTAGCGATTCCCTTGCTCTCTGAGTTAAAAAGAAGAGCAGAAATAATAAGTTGTACATGAGGCTTGCGCAATTTTGGAGTAAAACAATGTCGTGAGAAATAGACCCAAATACCAAAAATTTCAGCTTTGTATTAGTATAGTAGCTCACCTGCAGGTCTGAGGCACTCATGTTGAAAGCTTTCCACTGCTCTATGCTGTCAACAGATGCCTGAGGGTTCAGCCTCTTCCTGCTGGATTTCCCTGGAACTTTCAGTCTCCTTCCACTTGCCTGAACAAAAAAAAAGTTTCAAACAAGTTTGAGAGAAAAGTTTGTCATATAGGTGTGGTGTTAATCTGATGCATAAACTTACCCGAACACTGTCATCCTCATCGTCAGCATCCTGCTGATGAGACTCATCCCCTTCCTCTCTGTCACTGTGGCCGTAGTGATCCCCAGGGTCCAGGGACTCCTGCGATTGGTTGATCAAGCTACGGCTTCGCCCTATAGTACCCAGAGCCAGCTGGGACACAGGGGACAGAAGGGTAGCGCCTAGACTGGTACGCTGGGAAGGAGAGGAAGCATGTTTATATGCAAAGAGAAAATGAAATTCCCTTGTATTGTTTGGCTGTGACTCACTTTTTCACCATCATTGTTTGTAGCATTCTGCTTTGCATTCTTCAGCAATTTGGAGAGGGGTTCTGTTAAAATAGTAAATAACATTTATTAAGATCTCTCAATGTTTCCTTTGGATACCTGTCTTAAGGTTATTTTTTTAAAAACCTTTTCTACGCCCTCGACGAGGAGTGGGGCCTTCCTTGGTTTGAAGGGAGTCTTTCTTCTCACCATCAGGACTGTAGTGAAACCCAGGATGGTCTAAAAAAACGAACAAAAATCAATCACTCATAAGAAACATTAATATTCTATAAATTTGAGTCTAGTTTTTTAGATATGGCCAGCTGCCAAAATTCAGAAACTAGCTCTTACGGATTGCGTCCATTTCCAAAATGGCTTGTTTGGCCTGAAATAAAAAAAAAAAATTAAGAAAGAATAAAAGTTAGAAAATTCTAAGATCCAATAGCTGTTACACTAGGGGGCGCCACATTACAGTCTTAACGTAAGTATCAGTAACAGGCAATGATTGAATACATACATTAATAGTTGTCAACTGTAGTTTTTTTACTCCTTAAACATTTACAAATTTTTTAACATAAACATAAACCTCAGTGTTGCTTCTCAAATCAATTTAGACCTTTGGTATGACTTGTCTATTCTAACATGATGGATTTATTGTAACTCTGGTTGTTTGTTTAAAATTGTTCTCCTACAGGGAGGCTAACCCCCCCCATCCTTTTGTGGCTTATATTTCTCTTTCTGGTTCATCTTGTGTTTAGCTCAATCCCTATTCCAGTTAACTCTAATCAGTCGGTGTCCCTGCTGAATAAAAGCATTCCCTCAGCATGATGCAGCCAACAGTGTAAAGCACCATAAGGATGGTGCTTTCAGGTTTTATGGACATAAAACTGTATGCCACATTTTTCAGATTTTTATCTGTAAAGAGCTTTTTCCAGATTCCCAGTTATGGAATATGTTATGCTGCTGCATCATATATAATATTAAAACACACTGATATTTGTGGTTTTGGTGTGAAAAAGTGAAACATTTCAGAAGGAAAAAGTATTTTTTATTCCACTCTAAATAACCTTTATTGTTATAAATGAATGGTGATATACTCCTCACTACCACATTTTTAACACATACTCTGGACTTCAAACTGTTGGGAGCTGGAGAAGTTCCACCTTCCTCCAGCAGAGTCCGCCGAGCTGAGCTGCCTGCACACCTGTGACTGATCATCTCATCAGGAGGACCACAGTACTTAAGCTGTCTTCAGACCTTGCCTCGACGCCGCAGTGTTTAATCAGTTTGGTTAGCACCTAAGCCCAGAACCTCCTGAGAACTTTGCTATCTCTGAGTCCAGTTTGGATTTTAACCTTTTTGTCTCTGCTTCCAGGTTACCTGTTTTTCTCATGTGAAGCTCTGGAAGAGCTTAACCTGCTGAGCCTGCCCTCTGAGCCAAACCTGAAGACTCTCTTCTGGATTTCCAAGCAGCTCTGGATTTAGAGCTGGGAACTCAAACCAAGGTCAACACCCTCACTAGAAGTAAGACGCTGAAACAGTTATCGGACTCTGCTGAACCAAACCATCTCCGGACCCAACAGTTCCTCTCCCAAAGTCTCTTCTACGCATCTCAAGGTACAAACCCGAATCTCTCAAGATCAATTCCAACCAAGCCAACGCTAACTGAACTGTCTCCCTCACAGACTCCAGTGAACCAGTCCCCAGGCCTGAACCAGCAAACTGTACATTTACTACGTGCTTGTGTAACAATAAACTTGTTTAACTTTTCCCCTGAGTCCGTTGTGTTCTGCATCTTGGGCCTCTCAGTAAACCCATCATGACACAAACACCTTGATTTACATTTGCTTACACACACAGGATGCACAGACTAGTGCATGTTGAAAAAGGCCCTAGAGTCACTAAATTTTAAAGTTTTTCTTTTTAACCATGTTCTTTAATCCGGCTTAACCATACAAAATGTACATTTTTAATCTTTAAATACTTTTATAATTAAAATTAATAATTAAAAACGTTTTTTAAAACTTTTTGTGTTACTTTGGATAACTTTCATTTATTTGCATTGTAATTATCAAAGGAGATAATTTTGATATTAGGAATAAAATGTAAAAAAAAAGTATAAATAAATAAATAAAACAGAAGGCAAAGAGAAGGTCACCAGAAGAGCTAAAGGATTATATGGGCAGTAAAAGAAAAATATTTAACTGAAAACATTTCAAACAAATTCCAGTTAATCTGTTGGGAGCTTTTCTCACCTTAGCAGGAATCTTTGCCGGATGATTTTCAAGTATGAGCCTTTTAAGGTGCAAGATCCACATGCGCTTGTCTTGCTGTGATTTTGCCTGAAGTAAGAGCACAAAAACATGCTAAGAAGGTTATATTATACATGAGCTGCAAATGCAGCATCAGGAGTCTTCTGCAACTAGTTGTTTTTTTTCCCTAATGGACACCCAAAACAGAGTAGTTAGCTGACAACAATGACTGCATTTAGCCATTAAACTCTCAACATGCCCAAGCAGCTCCTTCCAGTGAGTCTGTAAAGTCTTTACAAAAATAAGAAACCTGCAAACAATCCGCACACTTTCTAGCGCTTACACAATGCTGCAAGTGGCTACAAAACATTTTCAAACATGTAATTACAATCAAAATAACACTTGCAACTTTATACAGTATTTCTCTACCTGGACTGTGTGCTGTAGTTTGGGATTCTTGTAGTGAAATACACTGAAACTCAGCGGCTCTTTAGGAATAACCTCCACCAGCATAAGGTTGCAGCACTGGAAGAGACAGACCATAAGCTGTATTAGAATCACTGCTACAAATCAGAAAACATCTGCTGCTCAGCAATCTATGAGGCATGTACTTTAAGTTGTTTAACTGACCAAAATGTGAGCCTTGTACGTGTAGGTTTCCTCTCGCTTCTTGGTGATCAGCAATAGTTTGTCAAACAGGAAGAGGGTTCTTTCATTCTTAGCTCGTTGAAGGCGAAATGTTCCTTCAAGAACTAACTCTCCGTAGCCGATCAAGTCCGGGCCTTTCCAGTTGGTGAGGAGGCTTTGGATTTCCTGCAGTCGGGACACACAGAGAGGAGTTAGATAAGATGTTTATTATGACACAAAACAGGAAGACCAATTACATAATTGCAATAAATAAATATATAAAAATAGAACATTTCTAAGATGTAGAAGAAAAATTATCCGGAAATGGGAGAAGAGTGGTCAATGGCCTAAATGTCTTCATGAAGGAACAAATACAGAGTAATTGAAAGCTAAACAAAGATTTGTTGTTTAGAACAACATCTCTAAAATAATTAGATTTTCTTTCATACGTAGAACTTTAATATTGGTTTTCTTTGATTCCAATGTGAGGTAATTTAATGTATTCTGCTTTTTTGTTTATAATCAAAACCTCAAGTTTTCCAGGGACTTGCATATAGTGTTGATTAAACATCTAAGTTCCTCCATTATGGAGGAACTTAGATGAATCATTTTTGGAGGATTCAGGAAATTACTATTTCTATCTTTTGTATACTATATGAAAGGGTTAGGGTTATACTTTTTGAAAATAACTTAAAATCAGTCAAGATTGCTATTAGCCTTGAGTCAGAGATCAAGGAAAATTCAAAATAGTTTCCAGCCAGAGAAAACCTGATCTGAGCATTCCCTGTATAAAGCTCAACAACAACCGAAAATACATCTTGAGGGTCGATAGACTGAATGTTTTTACACATTCCTGCAGACCAATCCCGTCTCCCAGCAGATAAAAGAAACAGTTTTTCCTTTGATCTCTTCCTTTTGCAAGGCCATCATTAGGAGTATATCTTGCGTAAGATATTGGGAAGATCAGGGTATGTGTGGTGAGTTCACATGACTGCACAGCAGGACAGGAAAATAACTGTCTTTTTTAAGTTATAGGGGTTTGGAAATCTTTTACCTGCAATCTGACAGCGTGCTCATGCTTCCTTTTCATGTCATTGATGTGCCAGGCCACTCTCTGCATGGTGTCGATGGCTTCCTGCACCACCTCATAGGTTTCTGTGTCCTTTTCCATATGGTTGGCTATCTCCTGTGCCATCACATACAAACAGATTTTAAGTAAGCACTCAATGCATGCATGTACACACAGGAATCCTCTTCCATTTTGTGGTTAAAAAAAAAACACAACATACAACATCCATCGGAACAGTCATACTGTGCAACATATGTTAGAGCATTTGGCTCCTTTGCCAGAGCCGAGTTTTAAGCCAAGTTTAATGGACATTTGTGCCAATGTGGGAACAAAATTATAAGTTTCCTGCTACAAGTTTTTTCAGGCTCTGACAAAGATGATTTTTTGCATAACATTGTGTGTATTTGGGTGTGTTTGAAACAGACAGCTGGCAGACAGACTTACATGCAACAGGAGGTGGTACTTAAGGATCCGCTGCACTGGCTTGAGCAGGTAGGACCCCAGGGGTAAGGAGTGTCTTAGAGATTCCTGGCGCTCGCGGAAAAACTTGGCCAACGCCTTGTTCCTCATGCACTCTGTTAGCACAGCCACTGAGCTGTGGAGAAAATGCTCTATGAATAAGATGGCATAGCCAAGAAGGTTTAAGACAAGGCGGAGGAAGGAAGATTTAATGTATTCTCTGAGGAAAATATTCTGATGACTGAAAACATTTTGCAAAACAATAACAGAAGATGAGTTTAACAAATGTGACAGAAAAACAACATTAAGCATTTAAAACAATGGGTAAATAATTTAGAAATGACATTTTTTACATTTATTTTTTAAGCAAAAGCATTCAAACCATTTGAAATTATTTACATTTTGTTAAGTTATAGTGACAAATGTCAATGTGACAATTGTCACAAAGTCATTACTTAGTGGGAAATCTTTCTGAAGTTACAGACAAATTTTGAAAGGTTTTCTAAGTTTAATGTAGAAATCGTAATTTGAATCCAATTGCACTATTGGTGGTAATGGTTTTCATTAAGGATGGCTTAGGTAGAATGCATGCCACCTTTCAGATGATTTTTTGTTTTTTCATTTCCTAATGCGGTCCAATAATATCCATTGAAAATAGTGATTCTCTAGTAATATTAGAAAGTGCCAATGAAAATTTGCATAACACTGTGCAGCATATTACCGTACTGTGATTACATGGATTTCTTTTCCTGCATTGTTTTATTGTGGACTAAATGCGTCAACAATGACCTTCGAAAAAAGTAAAAAAAAAAAATGTCTCCTGTTCTTCTCAACTTACTGAGGGTCGATCTTACAGCCATATTTCAGACTAAGATGTTACATTTAACTGCTCGACACAAGCTGAATGCTTTTTTGGTTTTGCCAACCTAAACAAAATTTTGAAACTCATTCCTTTGATACAGCAGCCCCTTTACAACCTTGTAAGAACCAGATTTACTGCTTGGTGGAGCTTGTTTAGTGTGCAACCCAATGAAGAATAAAGAGCTTTTTCAGCACAGTGGAAAAAGACTGTTGTGAACTTGTCTTATTCTTTTGCGTCTTCTATGGGTGTGTGTGTGGGGTTTGTGTGTGTGCATTTGTGTATGTATGTCGGCATGTCTGAATTCCAGTGCCACTCCAGCATAGGCCTCACATTGTTCTGGAGGAAACCCGACCTTAGAAATCTCGATGGCCGTGGTGCATCCATAGCCTAGTGAGTGTGCGTTTATGTGCAAAGCCTCTCCTTGTGTGTGACCTCGGCTGGGGTCACCAGCTGTGGTGAGGATGTAGGAGAAGGACAATCATAAACAGAATGACAGCATACAAATCAGCTTTTAATTAGTCGGTAACTCGCAGGCATTGTCCTCTCATGTGCTTTTTTCAGTGAAAAGATTTGCAGCCTGGAGAGAAGGTGTGCCAGATAGAAGCGGCTTGTCAGAGTATGAAGAATAACCTCACGTTTCAGGAGGATTTTATCACTCATTATAATCACTGACACACATAAAACCAAGATTATACCTCCTAGGTGTCCCAAGGCACCACGGCACATGCACAATACAGAATAAAACATTAACAGCATTAGGTACGATAAGGTGACAACTTTAATACCCCATCTGTCAGCATGTGAGCTGTCACAAAAAGAATGGAGGGGAAAAAATGGAGAAAGGAGCATTAGGGAAGGCGGAGAAGCCCTGAGGCACAACTGACTGTAGACACTTTGACTCCTGCAAAAGGAGTTCTCCGAAGAGTGTGTGTCAGCTTGTCAGAGAGGCTAAAATGTACTTAACTGAAAGGTGTTCACAATGGAGAAAGGTGAGATGCTGGGAAGATTGCATGTGTAGGTGAGATAAGAACGGAAGGACATCTATACAACAGATTTCAGAACAAAAAAAAAATGCAATGTCTCACAGAAAAAAGCATGAATGTATTGGAAGATAGAATTTCTGTGATGTAGGGGTAGCTGGTTTTGAGAGAATGTATGTTTTATGGATTAAATGTTGGAAACACTTTTGGATGAAGTTCATCCATGTAAGAATGCCTTCATACTTAAGAAACATTGATTAGGGAATAAAAGTCCGGATCTAATCCAAAATTATTGACTGGAGAAAAACAGAAACCCCAAGATTCATCACCAGTTTACATTTCGGCAACACTTGCTCTATAATGCTAGGTTCCAAATACACTTCTATTAGAATTATTTCATTAAATCATTCCCATATGACCAAGAGTAATACCAACAAACCAATCAGCTTTCTTTAAGCAATTGCTGATGAGAACTATGAATGATTATTTTTCAAAGTTTCTGTTTCCCCAGTCGCCACAACCCTGATGGACATTAACAGAGAAAGAAAGGTCACTTCTTACCGTGGATAGTTAGTGCAGTACTGGGTATAGATATGGAACTCTTCACTCTGCAAGAAACATAAAGGGAACAAGTACAATTACATCAGATTATTACTCATTATTAATAAACGAAATCTTGAGCATTCTGGTGTGTTTGGGGGGATTCGGAATTTAGCCTGTGGACAATTCAAAGTCTTGACCCAAAGTAAAATCTTTGACAAGCAGAAGGTAACATCTGGAAAGATTTTGACACAATACTACAGCTATTTACCAAACCCACTTGAATGAGTGAAAGCATAACTTGAGTTATCAAGTTCATAATTAGAAAATCATTCAGAAAATTGGCTTTTTCTTATTGGACCAAATTTCTAAAAACAATTACCAATTTAAAGAGGTTGATGACATATGCCACTACTGCTTTACGCATGCTGCATGTTTCTTTCCCCAAACAAAAACAGTTTCTTAATTTGGACCCTCCACCTGTCTCTGCTTTCTCTAATGTGTCTTAAAGAGGTGAAAATAAGGTTTAGATCAGGGGTTCCCAAACAACCCCTAAAAGCAGCAATGGACTCCCCATTTGCATAAAAACAGACAATGCTTCAAAATATGTAAAAAAACAAAACTTTTTGGAAAGTTTTTTGTTTTAATTTTATGTCTATTTAATTGTTTCATTTTTTTATTGTAAGAATGTTAAGATTCTTTTATCAACACTGTATCATATTCCCACTGAATATCAAACTTTTCAACAAACTGTTAAGACAACATAAGAAATCAAACTTCTTTTCATGTGTGTTATGTGGGAGCGCTGGGATTTATGTCTATCAGGGACAGATATCTATCATTGATCACTTACAGATGTGGTTTGTTTTGTTTTAAATACCTTATAGGTTGAAAAGCTATACTCACGCAAGTAGGTTCTTTCAATAGGGAAAAAAAAGGTATTTAAACAAAGGTGTAATATTCTGTTTTTCAAAATTAGAGAAAACACATTAAAGTTTAGATTAAATACCCAATTTTTGTTAGTTTTCTTGTAAAAATCTTATAAGTTATATTTTATAATACTGACTAAAACATCTCATATTTAAAGTAATATTAATACTATATTTAAAAAAAACACTAGTGTCTCCTAACAGCCATCACTTTGAAAACTATTTGCTTCAATTACTCCTGCATTGTTGTCTGATATGCAGTACTTAATGTCAAAATTTACTACAGTTTAATGCAGTGGTTAGCAAAATATATATTTTCATTTTTACAGAGATTTGAGTTAAAACACTTAAAAAAATCTAGAGCATTTAAAAACATAAGCCAAGTTTAAAATCAATGTAAAGGGTTTGCCTTGCTTGCCATCGTTTAATGGATGAGGATCAATGATCAATGTACAGATTTTGGTATTGAATCAATATTACTATTTTGTAGTTAAAGGGTCAGTTTTCCACAATCATTTTAGTGATGTAACTTTGATGGTGAACAGAATTATATCAAAAACAAACATCCTCCAGGCCCTGCTAGGTGGATGCTGTTACTGAACAAAGAAAATTCAAGGTAAACTATTTCAGTGTCAATGAGGTCTAAAATGAAGTCAGAGGGAACAAAGAGACAGAAGAAGCAAATATAAAAAAATAAAATATATTTTTTTATCACATGTAAAAGCATTACTGCTCTGCAGAAAGCTTTAGTGCAGAACTTTCAATAAATATCAGGAAGGCTGAACACATAAAAGCCGTTCTTTTTCCTTACTTTATTCCTCAGTGCTTATGTAGGGGTAATTTTATTTTCTAGCAACCAAAGCTGATTCCTCTAATTGCTAATATAAGGTGCTGGAGCTACTGTAAAATATCAGTGCATCGATTCCTTTTTATTTAATTTTTTCTTTGCTCATAAATCAAACAGAATAAAACTACGAAAAGTTTTCAAAGACTGGAAAAGAGAAATTGGATATTCTTCTCACCTTTGTACTGAATAAAATAACTGTTTTTAGACATTAAACACTGCGACTCCAAACTATATTGGAAAACATATACACCCGGTAAACAAAGACTCAAACAATGTATGTTACTAAGCTTCTGAACAAGATGTATGTATATAATTCTGTCCTGTTCATGACTAATTTTACATTATATTTTGCTAGTTTCAGCTTTGATGACTAGTTTTCTATTTCATAATTGCTGCCCTGCCCAGTCTGAGCCTCCATACAAGGCCTTCACTCTCCTCTGCTCACTCACCCTAACTGAAATTGTCCTTACAGCTTATGATTAGCAGAACTTCCAGCCTTTAATTCTAAGTTTATACCAACAGCTCTGAGCGGGCGGATTAAATTGCCCCTCATTCCTCATCACCGCCCCTTTAACTGATACATCTTCCCATCTTGCATACCTCCGTGAGCATCAAAGACATCAAAAGGGGCAGCGTGACTTTCTCATATTTGAAAAATAGATCTTTGGGTCTCATCCTAACACCAGCCAAGATGTTACTTTATTTCTGTTTATGCAACACAACTCTCTGCCCATGTCTTCTTTGAGGCTTTGAGTGTATATTTATTTTCTCTCTTGCAAAACTAACAGTCAGTGCTAACTCTGTTAGTTCTTGTGTGCGTGGACTGAACAGAGGAAGGAGCAGAATGCAGGATTTCAGGAATTAGAATAAATTTAAACACAGGGCAGATGACAGAGGAAAGTTGCAGCCAATGTACACATGCACCCTTACAAAGCAAACTCTGACACAGTTATGAACATCTAAGCCATCGTAAATTACATTTTGCAGACAACAGCTGTGTGAAAAAGCTTGAGTTTCATCTCTAATTTATCCAAATCAAATGATATAAACAACGTGTAGGACGAAAATACACAAAAAAAAAAACTTCTGAAGTGTTAGCCTGAGGTTATCCGTGGGAACCTTCCTAAATTGAAAAGCAGAGCTCCTTCGTTCCCCTCCTCCTCATTGTCTCCAGCTTGCTGCTGCCACAGACCAGTCCTAAACCCAACCAGATGTGCCACCATCGATTTCTGATGACAAAAACTCCCCAGCACACACTCTTAATATCTCTTTGAAGCTAAAAGCACCAGACCACAAAGTGCATAAGTAGCCCTATGGAAACATATTCTGCAAAGCTTGCATGCATGCAGACACCGAGATGCAAAGCATACACATTTGCAGAGACTCTTTGAACCTAACCATTTTACCAGCAGACCTTAGAATAACTCACATCTGTAACACACTATTTTTTGAAATATATACTAGCTATGGTAAATCATATAATCACCACATGCTAAATCTTCAAGTTAAAGTTCTGAAAACTTGTGTGCAGCTGGTATATGAATATGTGGAAAAAGAGACATCTTCCTCTGCACTATAAAGACACAAATTATATGGAGGGAGTTTGACTTGTTGGAGCTGCAGCCAGTAATCATTACAAAAAAAAAAAAACGTCATGCTGGTTTACAGCCCACTCATCACTTTAATAACAAAGTAATAAAGTCCAAGGTTTTGCCGGAGCAATGATTTCCCAAGAACAGACCTATCAAAGTGAGTCAGCAGGTAGGCATTGAACATTGTAAATTAATAATAATAAAAAAAATGCTTTAGCTCCTTCTGTAATTGTTCTTTTTGTCAATCAGTGTGTAGCAGCCCATGCAACCCTTTAAAAGGCTTTCTCGCTGCAGGGCAAAGCAAGGAGGGTGAAAAAGTAAAGAACATAATGATAAAAAGACAATTATTTGGTGAAGATTTATGACGACATTCATTTCTTTTTTTTTTTTTTTAAATATGCTTGCCTGTGATTCTTTACTCTTATAACTCTAAGATACATCTACTATATATATTTGCTTTCTGGGTCTTAGCAAGCATTGCTAAACTACCTTTACATAATAAAAGAAAAGCCTGTCACAAGACATCAGTCTGGAATAATATATGGAGGCACACACATGGAGAAGGGCAGCTCGAAATTGCCACGCAACGCTGGAGACGGTCAGTGGTTGCAATAGCTAATACCGTTTTTTTCCTGATAAAAAGACATGTCCGTACAAGCAGAGTTACAAGAAGATTACTAGTCCAATACAATTTATCATGCTTAATTTTCTGGTCTAAATTTTATATTTTTCAGGGAAATATCCAGGGTTTTTAAGACTAAATGCTAAAGCTTTCCTTAACTTTGTAGAGATGTTAATGTAAAAATGCAACCGGCAAACGACACAAGGTTAAAAAACTATGATTCAATGAAAGGCTGGATGAAAAAAAATTATTGAGCTGAACGATGAAAAATTCATGTTTTTCAAATGAGGATCATTAATTCCAGGAAATGATAATATATATTTGTTAAGCAAAGTCATTGTTCCATATCAAACAAAAAGAAGAAAATAAAGAAAGAGTTTTCAGGTGCTGCTTCCAAAATAAACATTTCAAATGACTGAGATATGGATTACAAAAACACATGTATATAATTTAAGCAATAAATTCTGTTGAAGGTTAAACAGCATTTATGAGTTTAAGTTATCTAGTTTGCTATCTTTTTCCAAGTGCTTTGTTCTTACTTTGTGATTTTTTTTGTGTTAGTGTGCTATTAAATGTAGGGAACTATGGTTTAAATGCATGCTAGGGAAAAATTTAACCTTCCTTTTGAAAAACACTAAATAACCTAACCTAATGATGAAATCTAACCTCTAAGAAAACTTTATTTGAGGAACACGCTTTATATGAACATATGTAATTTAAACAAAAATGATAAAGCAAGGTAAAAAGGAAAACTTATTAAAGGTACAGAGGAAAATCTTTTATTTCTGGGTGGATAATCTAAATTAATGGTCCTCCTAATTGTTATTCATTATCTTGATATGTTTACGTAAGGCCGATCTGCATGCTCGTCCCCAGTTAGCTATCTTTTTCTGTGCAGGCACATTTGTATATGTGTGGTGAGCTATGGTTTAAGACAGTCATTGAAGCTCACCTTTCTCTCTGCGGTTCTTTGCAAATGGCCAAGGGTAGTAAGAGAAAAAGTGTCTACAAAGTTTATGAGAAGAAAAGAAAGGCCTCAGATGAGGCAGATATAATCTGGAATATTTTGCATGGAGAGCATTATGGGATTGCTGTTTGGCCTGGTGTTGCCAGAGGCTGCCGCTACTCGACAGCGGCGACTAATAACAAAGATGGTGCAGGCACCGTGCAGTCGAAGAAGAGTTATGTGACCAACGGGTAGCAAAAGGCAGTGATCGTCTGTCTGAATGGTAAGTTAACCGAGTTCACTACAAAGTCCACTATATAGTCCCCGCTCTATATGGTGATTGAGGGATTTAGGGGTTAGGGTGGACGTTTGAACACAGTAAGCTTGCATGAGCTATGAGAACAGCAAATGGGTTGGGATTAGAATATCACAATATCTTTAAATCAGCAACTTATGAGAGCCATGCCAGCTAAATGATTTTAGATATTTTACATGCTTTACAACATCAGGCTGATTTGAAAAGGGTGGAGACATTCTTTCATCTCTCCCTCATCCAATATATCTACTGCATGAAGCAACTCTTAACACCACAACTATATTGTCTTGTTTTAATTACCTACATTGCGACAGCCGACAAAAAAGAAATTTTTAATTGAGTGTGACTCATACCAGGTCCAGCAAGAAGAGGCCTGAAACATTGCCACATCTTTTTAACGCTGAAAAAAAAAATCTATTTTGCGATTTCTTAAAGCGCTAACTGGTAGCTGACAAGATACAGAAGGTTGTGTGCTTGTTTGTTTACAGATTTCAGCCTCTTATCCCAAACAAATGGCGTGGGGCTGTAATAAGCACCAAGTGTTGCAACACCAGCTGCTGTATTTTGGGAGTCTGGATGATGAATGGGTGTTTCTCTTTTTTGAATTTGGTCAGACAGTGGCTCTGTGGTTGTGGGGGTGATTGCAATATGGTAGGGAGGGAATGTAATATGTTTAGTAGGAAGTGCTGGAATGCAACACATTATCAAGGGACATGATCATGCAATAATTTCTGTGGGATCTAGAAAAATGAAAAGTGGGTGTGGAAGAACGTTTAAACCACACAAAAACAGGGCTCTTAAAGTTAAATTGTTAAGATAAGCGGAACTTTTATTTCCCTTTTCAAAAAGACGATAAATGCATTTTGAGCACTGGCTACAATTCATCTGAAACTGTCGGATGAATTGTTCTATAAACAATGATTTACCTCCAATTAAAACCCCCCAAGCTCCTTAGTATTTGGAATTTTCTGTAATTTCATATTTTTATCTGAATGTGTGCTTATGTAAAAAAAAAAAAAAAAATACAGTGAAACCAGTAGTATTTGCTAGTATCTATAAAAAAAAACAAAAAAACACACAAAAAAGTTTAACAGTTAAAAACTTTAACTCAAGACCAGGGCTACACTATCAGAGCTTATAAGCTCTCTAAGATGCAAAATTACTTTATGAATAAATATAATTACTAAGCTTCTATGAATTAATGTAATTAAAAAAGAGGAAGTTGCATATATTTACCTTACATACAAAGCACTCTGCAATGGCCACTAGATCTGCATTGCACTTCTCCAGCTCATGAAGAAGGTCCCTGAAACAGATGATGGAGAAGTCAACAAAACAGGTATGAACTGTGCACACTGATCTTATCCCTGCTCCATAAACTTTAAACTGCTAAACAGTTGCTGTGAATTTCAGGAATAAGAGCACAATAAGTTGTTCTTAGGGCCCTGTATATTAAACAAATAAGAAACTTCCATGTATTTATACAGCTGGCTCCCATGTGTAGCCCTTCATGGGTGTATTGCTGCACACTGAGGAAAACGGGCGGCTGCTGGGGTTATTGTTTTGTGGCTAAAGCATGAGGTCATCATGACCGCTTGAAGCTCCTTTAATTCCTCCTTTTACAGGCCAGTCTGTCTGTGTGCAGATGCCAAGAAATGAATGGGTGGGAGCAAAAGGTTGTGTTTCCAGACCACCGTGGGTGATGCTCGACTTTCCACATTTTCTGAATTTAGAAATAACAGATATACAACAACACTAAAAAAATAGTAAACACACCTGACTGCTGATGGAAAGCTATACTTAGAAACCAGCGAGCACCTCAGCCCAGATTCTCTGGTAGCTGGACATTATTTTTGGAGTCAGAGAGAAAAGGTTTCCAAAAGTTAACTGTCATCTCAGTCCCAAACAGGTGTCTCATAACATCTATAAATGCAGTTGAGAAGACCAGTTTTTAGTTAAATATCTGAGTTGTTGTTTCAGTCTTTCCTAGTGATGCTGTTACCTGTTTTAGCTAGTATTATGATTTTGGATAGGCAACTTCATGAGTTCAGGTCAAACAAAAAACATCTCCATGACCACTTCCTTCTTGAACAATTTTAATTTCATGGTTGTTTTAATTGTGTGTAATTAATTGAAAACCTGAGGAAGCTAAGATACATGGAATTTTTCAAAAAATTCTTCTGAATTCCTTTACTGATTTTATGGTGGTATTTTTTAGTGATATGCTAGGATGCATTTATTTGCCTCCTATAAACCCAAACCTTTTCAATTACAAATCCATGCTATCAGTACCTGTGCAGCATCTACTTGACTTTGGAGGAATCAATGAAATGAAAAGTGAAAATTGAAGAGCTAAATCAGAAAAAGAGTAGTTTTTTTTAAACCAAATGATGATCATTAAACGGTTATTCATGTGTCCCTTTACCTTAAACTTTTAGGTTCAACTGTCTGTACTCCCATATTCATCGGTAAAATTAGAAAATCTATGAATTAATATGTGCATGTAAAGATGAAAATTTTAAATGATTTAAAATGGTATAATGCATGAAATTTACTCAAACACTCACTTTGAAAAACCTATCTGAGATTTTCTTATACATGTGAAACACAATGTGTGAGATTAAACTGGTGTCAATAAATAAAATTAAAAATGCTAATATTTTTGGTTTATTTCATGCAGGTTCGCACATGTACAAATTAATGCAACATACACTTTTTTACAAGACACTTAAAGCTCCCTTCAAACTATTTGAAAACAAAGATTCTACAAAAAAGAAAAATATTTGCAGCTTTTCAATATTTGAGGCACTTTTGGTTAATACAGTTTGACAGGTTTCAGACAGTCAGACACAGCTTTGATTTTGTCAGTGATGACGAAATAATTTTGTTGACTCTCCTTTTTTCATGAGGATAGCGAAAATTGACATGCTAAACGTAGACCTTTGATGACTTAAACATGACTAGTTGTGGGTTTAAGTTTTTGTCAACGAGGCGAGACTAAATAAAAATTAGTGGGTCATCAGACTGTAATCTTTTAGACAAGCTAAGCAGTATCAGCCATGCAGCTGCGTCTTGTTTGGTCACGCCACTCACCTGGGGTGCAGCGGCACACATTCTGCATGAACACAGATGGACCATGACAGGAGTGGCAGGTGAGAAATCCGGAATTACGTGGTATTGCTCGCCGAACACTGAGAATTTCTTTTTCTTTCCAGCGTTTTATTGTCATTACACTGTCACAAGATCAGAGCAACTGAACTCTCTGCATTTAACCCATCCCCTTAGGAAGCAAGTGGGCTGCCATAGTGCGGCGCCCTTGGAGCAGTATGGGGTTATGGGTAAACGGTATTATTAACAGCTTTTGTCAGACAATTTTTTTTATAAAGTAGGGCATTAATTCATGAAAAGCTTATTTGAATTCTATAAATCCAAGTTTTCTACCCAACAGCAATGATGGACTGCACGGCAGCATTCTATACCCAGCAACTGTAGTATCTAGGCAAGAGCTGTCAATCTGGTAAAGAATTTGGTTGTTATTTGAAATTATAAAGGTTAACTTTTTTTGCAGCATAAAACTGACTGAAACCAGTTTCAGTCGACTAAAACCGACTAAAACTATCACCTAATGACTAAAATTCAACTAAGACTAATAATATTTTTTCGTCCAGAAGAGTTAAACTAAATCTAAGATGACTGTCAAAAACAACACTGGTCAGACATCACTTTCCCACTCTCTTTACTTGTTAAACAAACATCTCGAACAGTACTACACAGGTCTTGCCTGATCACGACCAAGTTCTTGTCTTGTATTTTCATGCCTCTCTCCTCACCCTTGTTGGCCATCTCATCTTTCCTTTGTTTAAAGACAACGCAGTAGACTGTTTTCCCGTCCACAAAACTTGCCAAGGCCTTTGCCTCTGTCAGCCTGCCTTACAAGCCTCAGCCATGTCAGCCTGTCTGCTTTTAGCCTTGCCTGCGTTTTATGTCTGCCTGAATCAGAGCTTGATCTATATTTTAAATAAACATTTTAAAACGTAACGTTTTCCGCAGTTGAATATCAGTTGGTCTGATTTTCTAGTGCTTCACACTTGCCTTTTTCAAAATAACATACAGAACATAGATGTACAACACTGTAGCTGGCACAGTTTTAGTCAATTAATCATTAAACACAATTTTTAATGGACAGTCACTGTACACTAGTATTATTTCTGGATAGTTATCGGCTTGTCAAAATAAATAGAGGGCAAAAAGTTTTTCTTCTCAGATAACAAAAAATTTGTTGTTGCAAACTCTGTCAACAAAGGTGTCACTGAAGACCCTAGAAACACAAGATGCAGGGCAACCGATCATTTTGCTACTCCTTTTTTAAGGTGAATCTGTCCAGCTTCTGTGTGTGAACAGTACCTGTTAAAGTGGTAGATGTCCCGGATGTTGCCAAACAGTGAGCCTTTATCTTCTGAGCTCAGGGCCAGTCGAGACTGGTTGCTGATGCACTCCAAGTAGTCCTGTAGAGACAAAGACAGAGAACAGTTTGAAAAGAGACTATAAACACCAAGGCTCATATTTCCTGACTTAATTTTTCGGGTTTTAAATCCTGCTTTGCACTGCTTTGGAACATATGACATAATCAAAATAAACATGTTAAAATTCTCTCTTAGTAATGTGAAGTGTGCTCCAAAATGTTCTACAATTACAGATACTGAGGTAATAACGCCTCAATTTAGATTTGATCACTCTTGAATGTCCCCCTCACTTTGTTAATCCTGAGAAAATCCAACCTTTTGGGACAGCATTTCATCTATTCTCATATCAAACTACAAAATAAAGATTTAATCCAAATGAACCCTGGGAAAGCTTTATGATTCATCAGTTAGACTCTTTTAAAGTCGAAATTGTTTGGTTTTGTGTAAACACTCTGATAAAGAGATATTGGGGGCTATTATGTTGCTACAAATGAGTCTTTAGCTTTGAAAGACAGGTTTAACAAAAGTCCATTGAAAACAAACAGGTACATGTAAGTTTGGACAGTTTTCACTCAGCACACCTTATCAGTGCCTAAATCCCATCCGTTACTGATGTGATGATATTTGTGTGGATGATGTTTAGACAAAGACCTCAGGCCTTTGTCTGCCCTGCATGCAGAAAGTGAAACATGGGGGAAAAAAAACAGGCAGACATGTTTCTACCCAAGCTGCATTTGGACTTTTGGACTTATTGTAAAGCCACAAATAATAAATATCTATTTTAGTTAATCTTATTTATACATTAGAATTTATTTGTGGTAATAATATTTCTTTAGAAGCATAATCTTTGCAACATACTATAATCTTGGATCTCCTAAATGAGGACTTCTTGTTGCAGAGTAAACAGTAAAAAAGAGATGGTATTGTTAGGAAATACACTAACTAATACAAATTGTTTAATAAACTAAACTGATATGAATTAGCATTGATCACTAGTGTAAAAACATAAATTAGTTATATAGCTCACATATATTCAGAGTAACCTTCTGTGCGCTTCTATTATGTGTCTCTAAAATGTCTCTGAGTCAGAGCTTTGATGATATCTGTTACTGCAGGTCTGAGTTCATCCCAAATAACATGTTACAGTTACAGGTCAAACACCGACATACAGGTGATTTAAATGATACGCTCGGTTGGATGCACAATAGATATCAACAAAATACCAGTTTTGAAACCAGACCCAGTCTGAAACTACCCTGCAAATGTTAAAACAGTGAGGAAAAAACGAAAAACAAAGCAGTTTTGAACCTGCATAAAAAAACGCAGTAATCATTTTATCTCAAACATTTACCTTAATAGGATACAAAGATGAAGAAACGTAAGGGAGTGTCCCTTTTCCTTCTCTTTGGTCTGTTGACTTTCTTCTATTCTGATGGTTTAGTTTGTGTGTAATGTGCAGTTCTTTTGTTCGTTAATATTATGGGCAGATTAGCCCTGGACATTAGGGCTTTCACTGTTTTTTTTTTTTTTTTTTGCTGAGGTGAAAGGATAAAACCAACAGAATCCCTACTTAACATTGTCACAGATTCATGAACCTTGTCTTTGGGATAAATGCTTTTTCAGTCCTATTGGAAAGTACTATTGGAGTCAAAAACCTTTGTGCATTTTGCACAGTTTTTTCAAATGGAAACTGTTTTTGGTAACTGAAATAACAACATTATATGTCAAAAAAAAAAAAATTTTATTAGTTAACATCGTTTTTGAAAGGACTTTTTTTTTCATAAAATGAGAAGAAAAGTTAGTTTTATGCTTACATACTCAAAATAAGTTTATAAAATGCCAGAATACAAAAAAAAAAAAAAAAAAAAACATTAGCCAAAGTTGCTTTGTGAGAGTTTCTCAGGTTGATGTTTGATTTGCTATTAAAATTCCAACTCTTAATCACCTATAATGAATGCACTGGTATCACACTGTTTACTTGCTTATTTTAATGAGCTTGTGGCCTTAGATATACTTTGCAAAAACATCAAAAAAGAGCCAGGAGTAATGATTTTAGAGTCTTAATAAAAAGAAAAAGAAAATCAAACACAATTTCTATGAATCATTTAATAATTGGTGAATAAACAATGAGAATAATATTGTGCTATTCCAGCACAAAATCATAGACTTATTAACATATGGAGTCATTATTGTGATGAAAACTGTGAAAAGTGTAAAAGACCTTTTTTTTATATAAATTGTGACATTATCTGGTCTAGAGTGGGAGACGGTTCAGAGAACTCTAACGCTCCAAATGATATTCCACCATCAACACTCATTCTATTTAATTATCTATCTTTTAATGAAAAAAAACAAAAATGTTAACTCATAGGCACCATTCAAATGCATAGTAAGCAAGTTTGGTTGGCAAACCCAATAAGTGACCCTTGATTTTCAATGGTAACCCCCAGACTTTAACAACCTTTCAGAAGAAGTCAACATATGAACCATGATATAGAGCCCACTTGATTGTTTCCACATAAACTAATAGAATAAACTTTATGTAATAGTGCTGGAAACTCATTGTGTCGATCCTGACAAAATAAACATATCATGCTCCAAGGGTTTGAGTTAAGAAACATTGGAAATCTACCCACAGGCAAGATGGCGGTTATTTTAAGGGTTGTGTTAGCAGGTCATACTAAAATTTTTTTAGCTCCAAGCAGCACTATGTAAGGTGATACTTTATTAGCCACAGGGTTAGGGATCTGACCTGGCCTGACCTGCTCATGTCATCGTTCCCTGCTTCAGCAATCTTGCCAAAGGTTAACAATCAGATCAGCACATGCACACACCTGAAGGTTCACACCCTCTTCTGAGCATCAGACATAACAAGTACAAACCTGACTCTTTCATGTATTAACCATTAACCTTTAGATAGTCTTTTGCTAAACTAAACATAACACTGCCCCACAGTAGGAAGCCATTACTCCAAACGATGGAGTGCACACACTGGAGTGCTTTCACGGATATTTTTTAAGAAATACTTCCTAAATTAAATTTAAATATCCCAATCCAACTCTGAAAAGAATTTCCCAATGATCTTTCTACAACTTTACTTGTTGGTGATGGTCTGGTTACGTAATGGTTGAGCCAAGAACAGGGTAGTTATGCACAGGGCAGCGAGAGACCAAAGACACAGTATATTTGCATAAATTCCAACAATATATTCTGAAAGCAGGAAAATGTGTGCAAATAAATATAGAGAAAAGCAAAATAGCAAACAACAACAACAAGGAAAAAGAGTGGCGCTGACAGATGATACACAGGTGAATGCAGGGGTGCCTGAGTAAATATTTGTGTCGAGGCTGTCACACCCTCTTCCTTTGCAGGAAGCATTTTGGGCAGAGGGATTAGTGAAACACGGGCTGCAGGACAACTCACACAGGGCAGTTTGAAATGTGTGTGTAAGAGTGTCTCTGTGCGCCTTGTTTTCCCCTTTGCTACTAAATGAAGACAGCTCTAGTGAAGAATTTGCTACTATACCATTCAAAAGCAACTACTGGGTGGTCTGGTCAACTAAAGGCTATAGGTGGTCTTTGGACCTATACGTTTTGTTATAATACTGGAACATTATATACAGTAACAGGCTAGAACAAAATGCCATATGATGTATACATATTTTTTATGTTTAAAGGGGTGTTGTCTGCATGTGTCTGCCTTCTAAAGCCTTATAATGTGAGAGTGTGACTGTATGCATTCTCACCCCATTAAAAAACAGCTGTTTTCTTTTAGAAAACGTTTAGAAAAAAACAGATCAGGAACGCAGCTCGATCACTTGACATGGCTACTCTAAGTCATTTACTGACTGAGAGTAGACGGCAATTATTGCTACAATTGACAAATAATTTTGTACAAATAAAAACTGCAAAAATCACTCTGTTATAAAAACAAGTAGATAGACACCAATTCAAAAATTATAGTCCCGTTTCTCTACTTCCACAGTTGTCTAATATTAAAAAAAGAAATGCTTCATTAAAAATTTAAATTTGTGCTCATCATAGAAGAAATTAATTGATAACAAATATCTGAAAGTCAGTATGGTTTTAGATCACAGAGATCCACAGCTGTGACAATCCTGGAACAAACAGAGGAAGTCACCAGCCTCATAGATAAAGAGAAGTTTGCAATCTGTCTGTTTATTTTCCCAAAAGAAAGTATTTGACAAAGTTGATCCCAATATATTATTCAGGAAACTAGAGAATTAGGGTGTATGTTGAAGAGGTTCTAGAGTGGTTGAAGAGCTATTTAAGTAGCTGGTAAAAATGTGTGAAAATGGGGGATATTCAGTTGTCATGCTTGAATATTGAGACTCTTTAAGAAAAAGCTCAGACTCTACATAGGCGTATATGATCTCTGTCATCTGGTCTACAGGTAAGGCTTGCATGAATTAAGATGTGTATAGGTAAGTTTGAATGTATATATGTATATCTATATGTGCATAAATGTATTTTTTTGCTCAGTTAATGGAGCAATACGGACCCATAAAAATAATAGGAGTCAGGAAGACTATTGGTGTTAAGAATTAAATGAAAGGAGAAAGTTATGATTAAACAAGGTTTACTTCTTCATACCCCTTTTCAATCATAAGCACTACTTATATCTGTAATGTAAAGATATGTCAGTTATACATGTTTGTTTGTGTTAATTTTGAAATTTTACTGGATTGTTTGTAATAAATTTATTAATTTATTAATTACTTTATTCATTAATGATTTACATCACATATTGGGCCTTTATGGAGACATGAAGAATACTACTGTTAAAATGAGAGCTAGAGCTATAAAAATTTAATTTCGCCAACAATGAACAATCAAAAAAGGTTGGAACTGGACAGTTTAAGTCTGAAATCTGCATTACTTGAATGGTGATTACAAAAGAAATCTGAGCACTACGTTTTGAAAGATAGAAAAGGTAGAGGTAAACCATGCAAGCTTTGATGCAAACCACTGCACTTAACAAAGACACTTAAGCTCAGACTTGAGGCGATATATATTCTTGCAGTTCAAAGCAACAGCACTAAATGAGTCAATTTGCTTGAGTGTGTACACCTACAACAAATGTTTGCAAGTGTATCCAGGACAAAGGTGCATGGTGTCTTATAACTGGGCTGAAACTGGTGACCATAAAGATTCCGGGAAGGCAACAAGCAGAGTAACTCAAGTGGACAAAAAAACAAACAAAAAAAAACAAAACTAAAAGGATAGTTTCAGTCCCTCTTAAAAGAATATACACTGTATGCAGCTCAGTGCAATGAGGAATTCCAAGAGGTCTATATTGGGAATATATCAGCCTCTCCATAGACATATGGTTCAACACATGAGATCAAAGTTCTCAGGACTTACAATTTTAGGTCAGAAAAGAGAGGAGTTAAGGAGGCCATATATGTCAGAAGAGATAAGCCAACTCTAAACAGCGGGGGAGGCAGAAGAGTTTAACTTTCAAAAACATATGGCCCAGCTTCAAAATCAATGCTTAGCCAGCGTCAAACCATTTCAGATCAGATATTTGATGGAGAGCATCCTCTGCTCCTGGATCACTATTTGGCACAGGAGTTACTCTGCAGTAGAGAAAAATATGCTGCACTGGCAAGCAAAGGCTGCGCAGAGGACTGTAGGATGCAGCCTATGCACCACAAGCAACATTTATAACTCAAACTGCAGGAGACGATCCTCCCTTTTTACCCCACACAATGATTTCTCCTGCATTTAGGCAGGAGGCTACAGAGCACAAGGAGCAGGACCATCAGACCGAACGTTGGAGGACTTTTGTAGCCTTTGCTGCCAATTGAAACACCCCCAACAGCAACAATCATTCACAGACAATATCCTTTTACTGCAGTTTGGATCAACTCCAAACTTTGCCTAATTACACAGCATATCATCTAAACTTTCCACTAGCAGAACATCTCACAGCTCAGAAATGGCACAGTTTGTGTGGTGTTGTATATAGCTGTGTTCTAACAGCCTTGTGCTATTATAGTGCTATTCAAGGTCAAATTCAGGTAAATTGTGTTATCCCCAAGGGGAAATTTATTGTTCAGACAGGAGTGAAAGAGAACAATTGAAAAACACATAAAAAAGCCAAATTACATCATGGATTTGGAACTGACCAGGTTAAAGATTTTTTTTTCAGTCTGTTCGTCTTACAATATTGCATTTTGCTTTTCTGTCCTGATGTTTAAAGAGAGAATTTTGCTCAAAAAGGATGGTTAGGATCTGCTAAAATTATCCTAGCCTTCTATAGGGCTCTGGACTCATTGAGATATTTCTAGTCATTGAGAGATAGTTAATGTTGGGAGCTGGAGAAGTACCACCTTCCTCCAGCAGAGTCTGCCGTGGATCCTCCTGAGTCGAGCCTCCTGCACAGCTGGAGCTCATTCCATCATCAGAGGATCCACAATATTTAAGCTGTCTTCAGACCTTCCTCAACGCCGCAGTGTTGATCCAGTTGGTTAGCACCTAAGCCTAGTATCTCTGAGAACCTTAGTTGACTTTTGAATCCAGACTGGATTCTAACCTTTGTCTGTTTTCCAGGAAACCTGTTTTTCTCCTGTGAAGCTCAGGAAGAGCTTAACCTGCCGAGCCTGCCCTCTGAGCCAAACCTGAAGTCTCTCTCTGGATTCCCATGCAGCTCTGGACTAAGAGCTGGAAACTCAAAGCCAAGGTCAGCTCACTCTCAAGAAGTAAGACGCTGAAGCAGCTAACAGACTCTGATGAACAAACAATCTCCGGACCCAACAGTTTCCCTCTCAAGGCTTTAACAAAGAACCCTCAAGGTACAAATCTGAAACTGTCTGAATCAAACTCCTCTGAGCAATCGCTAATTGAACTGTCTCCCACGCAGACTCCAGTGAACCAGTTCCCCAGGCCTGAACCAGTACCAGTGGTTAACTATGTGCTTGTAACAATAAACATTGTTCAACGTTTTACTTCGGTTTCCGTCTCCGTGGTGTACTGCATAACTGGGTCTCACTTGTGAACCCATCATGACAGTTAAGAAATTTTACTTCAAGCATTATCAGTTCTTTAATCTATACTGTTAGCTTTCTCTATTTATAGTGCCCACTTTACTTATTTCATGTATATTCATCTTGATTATTTTTATACAATGTAAACTCTGTTGTGGTAATTGGCTTTCGTTAAAGGTACAAACTTAAAAAAAAAACATTCTATTTCATGTTTTAAAACGTGTAAAATGACAGTAAAGTTATTTTAGTTATTTATTTTCATAAGGTGATTTTGAAGTGATGTTCTTTAGATGTGCCCCATGCTTTTAAAGTGTCTTGTCCTTGCTATATTTGATTTGGCCTAAATTATTTTGAATTAACATGTGTGTTATGCTATGCAAAACAAGAAACGTGATTTACCTCTACAATGCTGCGCAGGTCCTGAACGTAGGTTCTCTCTGTATCCAGTATCTCCTGTACCACCCGGTCCACATATGTCTTTGGTCCTTGCATAGGGTTTATCTTCTCTCCAACCTCTGCGCTCAACTTTGGCTGTAAATGTTCTACTGCAGTCTGTCTCCTGCCCTCTCCACTGTTTGCCTCATCTTCATCTTCACACCCCAGCTGTCTAGCTGGGACCAGTTCCAACCGAATCGCCCCAGAATCCCGATCAGAGGTGATGGGATTACATTGAGGGGATGCAACAAGAGTAGAACGGCTGCCCAAGGAGCAATGACTGTCCCTGGAGGAGGCGGAGGAAGAAGTGGAGCTGTAGCTGATGGGTCGATCAGTACTGTCAGGAGAGGAGTCCATACTGATGGCAGAGCAGTAACGCAAAGAGGCGTGGCGGAGGGCCAGGTTGTGAAGGCAGCGTGAGGGGTTGTCAACGGAGCTCAGGTCTGAGCTAGAGTCCGGGATCTCAAGAAGTGGAGGCAACACATCAGGCAGGTAACTATAATCGTCTGAAGGAAAACAACAGAGAGAAATAAACATTAATAAGGTCAATGTGAAACACCAAACTATCTCCTTTACCATACACAGTGTTGCAGGCTTTGGTGGGACATTTGATTGAACTTTAAATGGTAGAGTAGGCCAAAGCATCACTAAGCAAAATGGAAGGGCATTTTGAATGTATTACGCAGAATAGAAAACTGATCAGAACGGCGAACAAAAACCATTACAGTATCATCATCATCATCATCATCATCATCATTATCAACATCAACATATACGCATAAGAGCAATTTAAATGCATGTCTCCATATACATCCAATCTAATTCAAATCAGTTTATTTATTTAGTGCCAATTCACAGCACATGTGATCTCAAAGCATTTTGCAGAGACAATTCAATCAAATCACACAGAGAGAAAGGTTAAAAGTTTTCTATCCAAGGAAACCCAGATGATTGCATCGAGTCATAGACTTTGCAGGATTCACTTCACCTGCGTGTGCCTATGGCAACAGTAGACAGATTGCATCATAATGTTGACTCTGATGTCTATATTGATGTTCAAAAGTCAAATGCTAATTTAATATCTTAATGGAATGAAGACATGAATGCTAAAAGACTTCTCGTCTGCAGTTGCAAGTACTACTTTACATTTTTACAGAGTCCATCTATTAAGCGCTCTGATACCCGACCATAATCCAACTGACAGCAGTTTAATTGAATACCAACTGTATAAGTAATATACTGCATGTACTTAAAGATTTATGCTCAGTTCCTCCAAATTATTTATTCATTTCCTTTAACTGGTATAAAAGCAGAAAGTAGTCACAGAACCACCAAGGTAAACAAACTTGAAAAAAACCAAACATATCAGACCAAATCATAAGTGAGTGTGTATTTGTTTGAACACTGCAAACTATGCACACTTCACGTTATGAATGAAAGCTCTATTTCATTGCGTTCAAATGGGAGTCAACCGTTTTTACAACAGTGTCTACTTGTAGGAATGTTTTAAATGCCAGTTACTGGCCTCCCAGGGCCCCACAGTCATTCTGACTTCACATAAAAAATTTAGCTTTTCTGACAAAAAGGGTCCTAATAAAGTTTTCCGAAGCTCAACCATGTTCCTCAACAAAGCAAGGAGCCATGGTGTACCAGCATCTCCCATGTTTTAGCAACAGTGACATCCAGAAGCCTTCAGTGAGGTAAGACTCAGCCTCCACCTTTCTCACTTCAAAGCAATGACAGATCACAGGTTCAACTTCAAAACATGAAACATGAAACTAAGAACAAGCTCAAAGGGTCCAGCTCCATACCCACTCTCTCCCTTTTCAAACAACAGGCCCTCCTGATATAGCAATGGCTCTTTTAAAGCCGGCATTCTGGTTGGACTGGTTTCTGAAAAAAAGATCACAGGTTGGATTTATCATGAAAATGAGGACTTTAAGCCTACTCTGAGATATTTGACAAAATCCCATTTCAACCCTTACAGTACTCAATAACATTATTTTTATGTATACAGACAAGGGGTTTCCCAACTTTTTTTTTTTTTTTATCAATGCAGAGCGATGTAGAATCTTTGCCTCTTAAAATGCTTGAACATTTTCAGTCGCACTTGCAAAAACAGTTTTACTGGCACAAAAACATATTTTGGTCCATAGCTTGCTCATTTGAATAAGAAGTGTCTCCTATTTTGAATGGGGAGTGGTGGCCTAGTGGTAAGGGCATAGAGCTTGGAATCCTGATGTTCTGGGTTCAAGCCCCACTGCCGCTCTGGGTCTCTATAAAGTCTCTTAACTGCACACTGCTCCCAGGGAACCCTGTGATCACAGCCCACTGCTCCTCAAAGGGATGGGGACAAATACAGAGGTAAATTTCTCAAATGTGAAATCAATTAAAGTTCAATTCTTATTAATTTTCTATGTTCAAACAGATCGTCTGTTGTATATGGGCTCATATGAAATTAATTTCGTCTCAACAAACCACTACTCATTATGATAATATGCCAAGTGTTCAATTTAAACAAATGCGCTGCTTTTCGATGCTACAAAATAAAATGTTCATATATTTCTGACTAACTACTGCCATATATTTCTAACATACAAGCAGACATACGAAACAAACATAGAAGTACTGAGTTATAAAAACTTTCTATGTTAAAAAAAGTAATAGTAAGCTAACTTCACAAGGTGCTCCGTCTGGGGCCAAAATAGTTGAGCAGATGAGCTCTTGAGCTAGTTTTCATCTCACAGGGATGAAAGAGAGCACATACAGTTAGTCACAGTAAAAGCTGAGTACATATTTATGTCTAGGAGAGAAACATGAGTAAGCACTGAAAAATCGGCCCAACTCTATCATCTATAATCTGAGGTGTTGACGGCAGAAACCCAGCTGATATTTATTGATAGGATGGTTTCAGAGTCTGGCAAGAACAGACCAGATAAAGCCACTAAGACAAGAATAAGTAGAGATAACAGTTATTGATGGAACTTAACAAATATTGCAGAATGGGAGAATAGACTAAAGAATTAGGCAGTATGATGAAAAGCTGTCCTTATGTCCTCTAGCAGTGTACGCCTATAGGAGCATAACTATAGAGATGGCTCAGGATAACCTGACCCACTCTAACTATAAGCTTTATCAAAACTGAAAGTTTTTTAGCCTAGCCTTAAAAGTAGACAGGGTGTCTGTATATTGGACTAAAACTTGTATTTGGTTCCACAGGAGAGGAGCCTTGGAACTAAAAATGTGCAGAAACGTGTTTTGCAGTCCTACTTTTTTTTTTTTTTTTTTTTAAACAATTCTCTTAGTGAAAAATCACTCTACATTATAATTTTTTTATATTGTTTTTTTTTTTGGTACCCTTCTGTTACAGCACTGTTTGATTGTTTTGACTTAAATAACTAACAGTGTTTGTTTTTCTTTTGTTTACTGAACATTAAATTAAAAAGTATTAGTAGACGCTTACGTTACAAACGTAAAAAAAAACAAAACAGTTTTTAGCATCATCCTTGCTCAACCTTTTGTAGATTATTATCAGATAAAATCAATACTCCTGAACTTTCCATCAAAAAATATACAATTGTAACTGAAATCCAAAGCATTGAACACTAAAAAAGAGTGTTTGAGGCATAGATGGATCCCAGCTTTCTCTACTTAGAATCCTGCTCCAGTGACGCCAAGAAAAGCAGGAAAGAACAAAAACATCTAAATACTAAAGTGGCATGAAGTTTTTGTTTCCCTCTGACAAGTTTGGAGAGGATTTGCTGTTTGTTTTTTTGTCCTCCAAATGTTTGCAATCCCAGCCTTGCCCCAGTTTTCAACTATGAAAGATCTGAAAAAACAACGAATCTGAGTAAAATCAACTCACACAACCGCCAACGGTCTCGGCTTTCAGTAAGCAACGCTCTGCTTTCATGCATACAATGCAAAAAGACACAGATTAAATTACATCCCACATCATTAAAAGGTAACTACCAATTTCTGTTGCTAAAAAAAAAAAAATATTCAAGACTCCATAGATATGAAAACCAACGCAGATTGCCAAATTGTCCTATTGCTAATTAATTCAGCTAATGTAGGTAGAATAATAAGCTATCTGCATCCTGCACATAGAGACTAAAATATGAGCCAATAAAAAAGCCAAAACACCACCAAGAGGTTGCCCCATCTTGTGTTTGCCCACCCCCTCTGTCCAACCCTTCAGCTTCATGTTTCGGGCACACCCTGTCCGTTTCCTTGGTGAACTGACTCTCTCCCCTCTCACACATGCACACATCAACCTCTGCAATCTTAACGCACACATAGGCAGAGAGAAGATGACCAGGATTTGGTTACCTACTATCCAGATTATTTTCAACTTGATCCTAGTAAATGATCTCTAATTATGGTCTTAAGTATGCAGGCTCTTCTGTGTATGTGTTGTTTGTCTCTGCACGTGCACATGAGGATTAAGGGTTGTGTGTGAGGCCAGTGTTTTCAGCCAGTGGAGGGAGAGAGTGAATACAGCGAGTGTCTGAGCAACCTGGCTTCCATCCCTGGCTTTCATTAAACTCAACAAAGAGAGAGGATTTCATATGTTCAACATTAGGCCCAGCTGAAAGGCAAACACTGACAGCCAGAGAGAAGCAGAATGAAGAGTGGCAAACACCAAATACAATAGATTTTATAAATGATTTTGATTATTAAAATGCTTAAATAAGGATTTATATGAATATTTTAAAAGAAACCAAGAGGAAACCAGGCTTGTCATGTATGTGCACAATAAAAAAAAAAAAAAAATCCAGTATAATTTATGCAAAGATTTTGAGTTTTATCCACAACAAAAGTGTTATTACATTAATAAAAGATGTGAAAAAGCTACTTTCTTCCCATACAGCTTTTCAAATATGCTTTCTTCTCTGTTTGGTGTATTCTAGTGGCAACATTATTGCTCCATTAACAGGTCTGACACAGTTCCTACAGTATTTTAGAAAGCTATCTCTGTCATAGTTCTGGTTCTGTTATGTTTTCTTTTGAGTTTCAGTTTTACTCTGCTTCATGTTTTCTTGTTTTAGTGGTTTAATTCTTATTTTGTTGTGTTTTCTGGTTGTTTTCAGGTTTTTATTTGTTGCCCTCTGCTGCCCTCTTGTGTTCTCCTCTTTCTCTAGCTCTTTTCCTGTCTGCTCTGTTCACACCTGCTTCCAATCTGCTCGTTAGCCCTTTCTTTGTTTCAGTCTCCCATAAATACACCCTCTGTTCAGTTCCTCAGTGCTGGTTCCTCGTCAAACTTCCTCCAACTCTGTCTCTCTGAGTCTTCCCCCTCATGACAGTCTTCCCCCTGATGTCTCTATGGTTTCTGGTTTGTTTGACTTTGTTTTCATGTTTTGATTTTTTTATTTCCTGCCTCCGTGTTCAGTTGTTTTTTTATTCATCATTAAATGATCAAGAAACTCACCTCTGCCTCCCTGCCTCCCTGCCTCTGCATTTGGGTCAACAAACCTCAACCAATTCCTGACAATCTCCTTAAATA